GCTGGGAATGAAATTGGAGAGAGATCTTGCTGCAAAGCTTTTTTCAAAACAAAGTTCTGGAATTCTATTCCTTAACGCTTCCTCTTCTTTATTGTCATTACCATTATCATAGTTACTTTGGGATACACAAGAGCTTGATATATACTTCATTTACTCCTCATAAGGATCCTAGGAGGTAAGCATGACTACTCTCATCTTATGATGGGAAAACCTTGCCTCAGAGACACTAAGTAATTTGTCCAAGGTCACACAGTAAGTGGCATAGTGGAATTTGGTTATTTCTACACTTTCTCTCCTACTCTCCTATTCCACTTCCCTATGCAGTCAAATACAATCTTGAACCAAAATATATGTCTTTTGACAACCGTGACATCTTCCAAAATTGTATATTAAAAACAGAATACACATGTCACCAAGATTAACATTTCTAATTTGGTTGATTCAAAAGACACACGAGCACACTAACATTTATGAGAAGATTAATATCCTGATGTGTGCACCAAGCCCAGGGTACGTGACCTTTTCTCTTTGGTAATCTCTGGCACAGCTGCCAAACCAAAAGGGTGAGCAGATATTGCTAAAAAAGGAAAAAGGGCCCACATGAAGCATGCCACACTTTCTATTTTTTGATGGAGACTTACGGCAACCAGCCCACACTCTGATGCGTCAACTCAATTTTCCGATCAGGAAGATTAATTTAACTGAGTAAGTCAACATAACTGAGAAACACAGCTGCTGGTAAGCTGCAGGCTGTGAGCCAGTATGGAATAAGCAGTTTCATTACATATACACACGTACACAAATGAAATGTCATATGTGCTATCAGCTAGCTATTGCTGTATAACAAATCATCCCCAAATTCAGTGGCTTAAAATAACCATTTATTTCTCATGAGTCTACTAATCGGCTGGGCAGTTCTGCTGAGACTGTCCAGCCGTGCCTATCCACTGGGCTCACTCGTGTGTCCACAGCCAGCTGGTGGGTAGGCTGACGGCTGGCTAGGATGACTTGCCTTTGCTCCATGCAGTCTGGCATCCTCCACTGGTCTAGCCTGGACTTGTTCTTATGACAGTGGCAAGGCTCTAGGAGAGAGTGGGGTCCATGTGCCAGGTCTCCTGAGGCCTAGGCTTGAAACTGGCATGATGTCATTTCCTCCTCCTTTTATGGGGCAACGCAAGTCACAAGGCCAGCCTAGATTCAAGGGGAGGAGAAACAGACTCTACCTCTTGACAGGAAGAGCTTCAAGGTTACATTGAAAAGGATGTGGATACAGGGAGAAGGGGAGAATTAGGGCCATTTTTTGCAATCGGTCTACCACAAACATACACAATATATCTGAAACACTGCAAAGTGCTAACAGCTCATGTGCAATGAGCAATGGGTTAAAATCCCAGATGATACCAGTGCTGGGTGAATGTTTCTTTAAATTCTCGTCTAGTGAGAAGGGGAAGGAGTGGGGAGAACACTGAGAAGGAAGGATGCCAGGGTGCTGGGCGGCCCAGACAGGCTGTTGGCAAGTGGCTGGTTTTCAGGCATGTGGTTTTGGGTAACCTGAGTGAAGGCAGGGTCCACCTAGAGAATCAGAAAGGTAAGCCAAGGCAGAATCCTTTAGGCAAGATCAAGGTGGGGTGTTCAAGTATGGACCTTGATCAAGTTCAAGATCAAGCACAAACACCAGAGCTAGAGGGCCAGAGGCCACAGCTGCAGAGCACCGTCTGGAGGCTTGGATTCCATTATGACAAGGGCAGCAGCTGTCCACCCAGCCTGGTCCTGGATTCCAGGCACTGTGCTACATGTCCCCTCTGTATTATCACAGTAATCTCCACTGCTTTTTGAAACAAATCCTTGAGTAGTTATTGCTATAAGGGTTTGTTAGAGGTCAACTTGTTCAGTCCTTGTCTGAAAATATCTTTATTTTGTCCTCACTCTCAAATGATAGTTTAGCTTGATATAGAATTTTAAATTGACATTTCTTTTTTCTTTTTCTTTTTCTTCTGGCTTCTACTGTTGTTTTGAGAAGTCTCATCAGTCTAGTTGAGCTTTCTTTGTAAATAACCATTTTTTCTTCTTTTAAGATTTTCTCTTTATCTTTGGAGTTCAGCAATTTCACTACGATGTGTGGAGGTGTAAAACACTTATCCTGCTCAAGACTCATGCTCCTTGAATCTCAGGAATCAATTCTGGAAAATTCTCAGCCAATAAATTGTATTTCCCATTCTCTTCCTTTGGAATTTGTATTAGGTAACTGTTTAACTGCTCTTTCCGATTTTCCATGTCTTTATTTCTCCATGATGCATTGTGGGTAATTTCAAATCAATCTTCCAATTCATCATTTCTCTCTTTAACTTTGTCTAATCTGTTGTTTAAATCATCTACTAAGGTTTTAATTTCAGTGACTTTTTTTCATTTCTAGAAGTTTAATTTAGTTTATTTTCAAATCTCCCTGTTCTTTTTTTCAGTGTCTTGTTCTTTCTGCTTATTTTCAATGTTTTAATTTATGTCTTTAATAATTTTAAGCATACTCATTTTGTGTGTGGGGGGCTCCTTCAGATTGTTCTATTGAGGACTGAGGGTCTAATCCTGATGTCTGTTGTTTCTTTGACTTTCCTGCATGGTGTTTTTCTCCTTGTGTGTTTTATAAGTCTAGATTATGAGCTCATCTTTAAAACTGCTCATATATGGGAATCTGATAGCCTGGATTGACGACTTGTTTTCTCCAGAGCAGTTTGGTATCAACTTTTTGACTTGGGGATTTCTGGATCATAAATTGGAACCCTAAACCCACGTAAGGCATGTCCTATGTCTCGTCTCTGACTCCCCTGAGAAGACACTTCTTCCCCTCCAGTCAGGACACAGGCTTATTGCTCGGGCTTTCTGTTCCCTCTCTGTTTCTCACCTCTGGTGATTTCTTTTAATTCTTGGGAGGTCAGTGCAGCATTTAAAGGGATCTTTGCTGTAGTTTATCTAGCATTTCTGGAGTATTTGTAGTGAGAGAATTTTCAGGCTAATTAGTCCACACTATTGCCACTCTAGAAGTTGCTAATATAGCTCTAATATTTCTCCATTATTTGTTCATCTCCCCCTTTTTTTTCCTGAGGAAGATTAGCCCTGAGCTAACATCTGTTGCCAATCCTCCTCTTTTTGCTGAGGAAGACTGGCCCTGAGCTAACATCCGTGCCCATCTTCCTCTACTTTACATGTGGGACTCCTACCACAGCATGGCTTGCCGAGTGGTGCCATGTCTGCACCCAGGATCTGAACCACTGAACCCGGGCCGCCAAAGCAGAACACGTGCACTTAACCGCCGTGCCACCGGGCTGGCTCCCATCTCCCTTTTTAAAGAAGGGAGATAAGTCTCAGGCTCAGAGACTTTGGCAGGTCACAGCATCATGCTAGATCTTAATAGCATTGTTTTATGTTTAACATATTTATTTTTTTATGATTCCTTTCATTTATGATAAGTAATACCAAGTTTCCATTTGAGGCAACACTTCCCTGTAAGATAAATTTATTTAAGTAAAGATTATGAGTCGACATAAAAATATTCAATAGGAACACCCATGATAAGTAGAAATGACACAAATCATGAAGCTGTATGAGAATGACTCTGGCTGGGAAACCTGGCTGTAAACCCACGGCGGTTATTGTCATCCTGCTCATGGTTACAACCTCCTGCTTGGTTTAGCATTGGTGATAGTTTAGTAAGACTCTAGTTTAGTAAGTTCGCTTTCTGAGAGCACAGCTATTTTAAAAGATGGTCATATTTCCACTGGTAATTTACCTAACTCAACCGGATCTGGGCACAAAACAAGATTTCCCTGTGGTTGCTTCCTCTTACCCCTCCCAAGCTTTACAGTTCTTTATTCCATTTCTGAAACAGATGGCACAGTGACTGCTGGTAAGGAACAGTCAGGGCAGAGGGCACTGATAAAGCTGCTGGTAGTAATAAGCCTTTATGACAAACTCCGCCACTCCGCCACCTCCTTGCATCAACAGCCCTGCCAAGCTGTGGAGCCCCAGCCCGTGGAGCGGCTGACTAGCAGCCGGCATCTTTGAACGTCCCTGTGTGCAAGAGTGTGTCCATGGACCTCCTTAGCCTGAGCCCAGGCCCCTGGTAGGGTAACTGGTGACATGTTATGAACTTGGTCGCTGATCTTCCTCTTCTCTGCCAATGATTTTCTCCACCTGCATCAGCCACACGGCAGGGGGCTCCCAGTGATGGCCGGGATGCTGCAGAATTCCCCAAAACAACCCCATCTGAGTTCCCTTCGGTCTTTAAAAAAAAAACCCCACATAATCCTGATTTTGTTTAGTTTTGGTCATTCTAAAAACTAAGAAAAGGTGATGTCACTGATGGGATCTGGTTGTTATTTCTTTGTCTTTTCTTATAAGAAATTCTTTGTCAGCTCATTTCCTCCTGACTTTCATCTGCAAAAGAAAAAGGCCAGTGAAATAACAGCACCCTTTGGGCAGCTGCTGCCAGAGAGTCTGGCCACGCTTGCATGCACAGAGCTTTTGCTCTGGTAACATGGAAGCAGGGGTTTGATGAGCAGGAGCCGGGGCTGGTGCACACCTCTCCATTTCCTCATCTGGAAAATGGCCAAAGAGCCTTAGCTTGCGGGGCTGCTGCGAAGGTTCCACAGGATGAGGTCTGGAGACACCTGTCACAGTGGGTACCTGATAAATATTAGTTCCTTCCCCTGTTTGCATCTTTGTTGTTAGTGCTGTCGAATCTGACTCCTAGCGCCCCTGTGGACAGCAGAGTGGAACCCTGCCCAGTCTTTTTGCACCATCCTCTCTCCTTCCGGCGCTGTATCAGACAAGCTCCGCTGCTATTCATAGGGTTTTCAGGGCCAGTTCTTTTGGAAGTGGGCAGCCAGGTCCTTCTTCCTAGTCTGTCTTGGTCTGGAAGCTGCCCTGAAACCTGTGCACCATGGGTGACCCTGCTGGCATTTGAAATACCAGTGGCATAGCTTTCAGCATCACAGCAATGATGCAGCCACCACAGTGTGACAAGGGACATACAGGTGGTGGGGTTCCCTGACCAGGAAATGAACCTGGGCTGCCGAACCTTAACGACTAGACCACCCAGGGCTGGCTCTTTGTATCTTTGGTGCCTGATAAGTGCAAATCAGAAGGATACAAGTGGGTGGCACGGAAATTTCTCAGGAAGCGGGAGCAGCTGCTCAGTTTTGCACGAGCCTTCAATGGAAGGCAGTCAGGAGACCCTCCCCAGCCGGTGCTTGTTGGAAACCCACCCTGTGCTGGGCTTGGAGGAGCCCCTTCCCTGGTGACGCGTGTGCCCCTGAAAGTCACCACAAGGTGGTGCTGTGGCCACCACAAACGCTCCAGGTGTCTCCAGGGCCAGGTCCTACTCCAGGAGCTTCCCGGAATCGCATCTGGCTAGAGCGGGTGGGAGCACCCTGCCAAGAGGTGGGCTGACCACATCCCAGAGCGCCCGCCCCTCCCTGGGGTCCCTGAGATGAGCCACGAGACCGAGACTCCAGACCCGGCCCTGCCTTAAACTAGCTGTGCAGGCTGGGCAAGTCGGGTCAACACTCAGCTATGCAATTAAAGGAGCAGGTGGAGGGTCCCAACGGGGCAGTGGAGAGAGCCCTGGGGTGGAGTTAGCAGGCCTGGGGCCACCCTTGGCTCCTTGGCTGACATCTGTGTGACCGTGATCAAATCTTCTCAGCTCTCTGAGCCTGTTCTCTTGAGAACCAGAGATAAGTGTCCCTCTCTCCCAGGCTGGCTGTGACGATCCATGAGACAGTACACACAAAGGGCACTCAACCAACGGCCTTCGTTTGGTGCCCTTCAGCAAGGCCTGTTATTGGGTATCCAAGGCGGCCAAATGAGGGGCTGGAGACCCCAGCCTTGGGGAAGCGAGTGTGAAGAGAAGAGAGGACTCCAGGACAAGCAGGTGGGCAGGTCTGCGCTGCTGCAGGCAGGTATGGCTGTGGGAGGGGTAGGCAGTGTTCAGAAGGGAGGTCCCCTCCCATCCGAGATCCCAGGTGGGGATGGAGTCTGGCTGACCTCTGTTCCCTGCACAGGTCCTGACACCTGGCACGTCCTCCGCAGAAGTCTGCTGACTAATGGATAAACAAACACACCGACTGAAAGCACTAATACTCAAGACTCAGGTCAGATTCCGCGTCCGGGTCTCTCCTTTCCGTCTGATGGGTCAAGGCCCTGCATTCTGGACCCTGTTCATCTCTCTGACCTTGCTTCTCCTGACTTCCTAGCAGAAACCTTGGTTCAGGCCGCCTGCCCTCCCCACTCACCTTCCTGCCTCTGCCTCTTTGCCATCGCCAGTCCTGGGCTCGAAGGCCTCCTGCTTTCCTCACGGCCTCTCAAAGCTCACCAGTTCTTCAAGGCCCACACCCCCTCCCTGAAGTCTGCCCTGCCATCTGGAAGGAAAGTCTCTCTCCTCTGAGCTTCGTAATGTCTAGGACCTTGTGATGCAGTGTTTGGTACTGTTATTTACCCGTTTTAAAGCTGGTATCTATTAACTTTATCGGCAATTTGAGGTCAGCAAGCTTATCGTAAGAGGCAGCATAAAAGAAAGGTTAGTAGAAAATGGTATAAAGTCAGACGTATCTGGGTTAGAATCCAAGACTTGCTAATTACTGGCTGTGAGCCCTTGGCCAAGTCACCTAACCTCCCTGGGCTTCTGGTTCCCCAACTGTAAAAATGGAAAATACAACACCTGCTTCCAGGTGTAGTAACACCCACACCTTCCAAGGTGACTGGGAAGCAGCTCAGGATGGATTCCGCTCCTACCTGGCACATAGTAGGTTCTCAGTAAACATCAGCTCCCTTCCTCTTTCCCCCCCTCTGAACGATGGTTTCTTATTTTGGAGACGAGCAGCTGTTCTCCATCAAACTTCTGCAGAGGAATGTGGCAGGAACTAAAAGTCATGCTTTCCACTGTTCTCTGAGCCTGCGACGCAGGCCACACAGTCTCGTGAAGCCTCAATCTCTAGCAGCTGCTAAAGTACAAAATGTAAAATCACCCAAATAAAAATCGACTTGGGACTTGCCGCCTAATTAACCGTCTTCCAAGTGCCCAGGTGCTCGCCAAAGCCTAAGGGTCATTAACTCTAATCTCAGTTCCCAGGAAGCCCCAGCGACAGCCTGCCTGACAATTACCAGCACCCTGGAAAGATTATTCGCGACCAGGGCCTTCTCCTCAGGGCTCCAGGTTTGTGACCTCCAGCCCGACCTTTCCAGCTACCAAAGGCAGGGGTGGCCCGAGGCCCTGCGGGTTAATTAAGCGCATGCTCAGCTCCTGAAGGAGAGGGTGCAACTCACAGACAGAGCGAGTCTGCTTGAAATGGGAGATCTTGTTACCTGCAGAGAAGGCATCTCCACATCCCCTCACGGATATGAGAAACAGGAGGTCAACACTTTCCGTTTTTGCTTTGATTGCTAGGAAGCTAACAGCTAAATTCACAGCTCAGTAACAGCAGCTAGACAGTAACAGGAGAAAATACAATAGTCACAATAACAGTGGTTACTGAGTGCCTATGACTTGCCAGCCATTCTGCTAAGCGCTTTACCAACATTATCCCACTTAATCCTTTTAATCCTCCTCTGAAGGAAGCATCAGCAGACCCATTTCGCAGGCGAGGAGCCTGAGGCATAGGGACCAAGCACATGTGCTTGTCTGCTCAGCTAGTGAGGGGCAGAGCTGGAACTCAGGTCCAGGCCTGGCTGCAGGTGCCCAGGCTCCTTCTCTCCAGGCCCAGCTCCCCTGCATTTAAGCTTTGAAATTGGCTCAAGCCTCCTGTCCTCATTTATATTTTTTCTGGTCCTGATGTTTTATATTTATCCATAAATTATTGTTTTCATGACTGAATTCCCTGAGAAGTCCTGCAAATCCTTTGAGGAAGGAGATGGGGCTTTGCATAAATAAATAAATGGCTGTCTGAGTAAATGAGTGAATAAAAGATGGGAGAAAAAATGAATAATGAAGACTATACTAGAGACTAGAAAGGTCAAAGTTCACATGGGGACATCCTATGCTGGGATGGCAGGGACAGGGGCTCCAAACTCAGACCCTGTCATTAAAACACACAGTGTAGGGGACGCACAGACCCACAGGCAGGGATGTTCTATCTTCTGTTCTGAAAAACAGGCCTGGCAGTTTTCTAAAAGACAAGAGTTCTGACGATACTTGCAAAGCAGGCTTGATGATCACGGACATCTTAGATACAGGAAAAACCCCACAGCTTCCATTACAGAATGCTGTGAACTGAGATGGTTAATTAACACGGAAAATAACGAGACTTGCAGTATTGTCTTCCCCTGTTGGAATGCCCCAGCCCCCATAGCAAGCTCCTTCACTGCGGGCAGTCTGGATCCTTTAGTAACTACCAACCCCGACGCATGCACAGGACCTGTTATACCAAACTGTGAATGAGGGGGAGGCCAGGAGGGCAGGAGATGGAGCAAGGTCACCAGAGAGGGGATCTGTCCATGAAACTGGGATGGTCACCAGGGCTCACTCACGTGGCCAGGAAAAGAGAGACTCCTGGAGACCATTCCCTCCCTATCCGTGTCCTCGCCACGGAAACTGTGGCAGATGATCTGTCTCCCTAGGAGCTTGGGCGGTGAGCACAGACATCTGCTCCCTCTGCTGAGAGCGACAGTTACTGGTGGACCTGAATGAATTAGCATTCAGCTTCCAATGCTGTCTCTTGTGAATGTGTTTAATGGGGCTCTGATCAGCTCTGGCTGCCAAATGGATAAAATCATGTTTCTGAAAAGGCTCGTGCCAGACCTGGGGAGATGCTGGCCTCCAGGCACTGCAGCCCTCGGGGCTCCGTCGGAGTGCCAGTGGCTGGCCTCCCTGGACAACATCTGAGCAGGAGCAGCCTGAACAGGCAGAGCCTGGTGTCTCACAGGCCACAAGCCATCGACTCTCAGATTAAATCGATCCGTTCCTAAATTCTTAACCACCCCTGGGCAGAGTAGTAAGCCTCCTGTCACTAGAAGCAATTAAGCAGAAGCTAGTAGACACCTCTGATGGATGATGTCAAGGGGATCCTATAAGTGTGGAGGTCTGAAACAGACGATCCCAAATGTCCCTGGGAACCCTGAGTCTAGAGGCCATAATTTCCAATGCTCAAGGGATGAAAGAATGAACTGAGGACCGTCGTATGGACTGACCCCAAGATAACTGAAGTGCCTCTGGATCATCAAACTCTGACACACTGAGTGTTAAGTGCCCCTTGCAGTTCTAATGCTTTCAAGACTACCAACGACCTATGTGTATAATGATCTTAGCCAATTATCAAGCAGGCTCTGCTAGATGCCTTATATGAGCATTTTATTTATCCTTACAATATCTCGATGAGGCGGGTATCGTCAGCTCTATTTTACTAAGGAGTTAGTAAGTAGTGGAGCCAGGATTCGAACCCAGGGCTTTCTGGCCATGAGCCCGTGATCCTAATCCTGCAGCAAGGAGAACTGTGGCCTTCTGGGTAGTTATTAGCAGACTTTTCTAATGAGCAGGTAACCTCCTCCTCATTCTGCACGTACATTCCAGTTAGGAGTAGAAAGTGCGTCTACAGAGGGCTAGACCAAGTGGCAGGCAAGGCAGGCTAGGGAGGTAGGTCCTGGAATAAACAACCCCTGGGGAACTTCTGCACAACAGGTTCCCCACCTCCAGGGGATGCTGAAGTGGCCGGATGTAAGGCACAAGCGCTGGCCATGGAGTAAGGGACCCGGGTCCCGTCTGGTCTCAGCTGCAGGAGCAGTGGAATTCTCCGCCATTCCGCCTTTCATACCAGCACATCTCTCTGCCCCCCTTCTTCCTAGGCCTCCCACTACCTCCACAGGGGAGGGGGCTACTGGTCTGATTGGTCAAGTGCAAGGACACTGATGTACAAGTGGGCACATCGCCGCACTTAGGAAAGCCAGCCGAGTCCCTGGGGGCAGGCAGGGACTTTTCTCTCTGGGGCCCTATCTTCATCCCGTGAGGTGGGGATGGCGCCCTCTTTGTCTGCCTCTCTCCTTTGCCTTCCTTCCTCTGTGCTGCCAGCCGGGACAAAGCAGGTCCCCAGATCAGGAGTGGAGTTGTCCGGGCTGAGGCTGCGGGGCGATCCAGCACAGCTTCAGCCAAGCTCTTCCCTGGGGGTTTGCGGTGCCGGCCTAGGTGGCGGTTGGTATGGGGCCACATTTAGCCGACCACCCTCTGGTAGGGGAGGGTAGGGTAACCCTGAGAGTTTTTTTCTTTTCTGTAATGCAAGTGCCTGACTTAAGCTTTGACTGCCAAGGCATCCACTTCAACAGGGCTATCTCGAGTAAACACACTGCCAGCCACACAACGAGATAAAGAGCCAGGCCACCTCCCCCGCCCCAAGGCTCCTTTGTTTTAGACACCTTGGTTGATTTCAATAATTGACCATTTGGGCCACTTGTTTTTTCTCTTCTTGTGCTTTAAATATCTGCTGTTATGTTTTAAACTCACCAATAAAGAGTCAGCCCGTGAAATCCTAGGTCCCCACCGTGGACCGCAGAAAAAGCAGAACCCCAGGCCTGTGCGTGCTTTCTCTGTCTAGCTGTTGCTGTGGCCCCATGTGTGTGTGTTTTTCAGGTTCTGTAAGTAATAAACCTTTATGTTTGCAAAGTTTCCTGATGGTGACTGCTGAAAGGCGTCTTGCCATCATAATTAGAACTGCACAGGCTGGTCCGACCACATTAGTGACTGATAGGCTGAGACCAGCACGAAGCAGGCAGAGAGAGCCGCAAGCAGATGGATGTAACACATCGCATGAGCGCCGGCACAGCTGGGTCCAAGGGGGGAGGAGGCAGGTCGGCAGCTGGACGAAGCAGAATGACCCAGACTTAGGAGCTGGGTACTGGGCGCGACTCCCAGCTCTGACTTGGGGCAAATCCCTTCAGCTCTGGGTCTCAGTCTCCTTGCCTGCAGTTCCGCAGAATGGCATGAACACTACCTGCCTCATGAGGACGCGGCAAGCATCAGAGTTAGAAAAACTGTCGCCGTTGGGCATAAGCACGGACATCCCATCTCAGTGTGACCAGCACCAAAAACAAACACAAACCCACACTGCATGCTCCGAGATAAAGCAAAAATAATAGTTCCAGTTCCCCAAATGACGGAGCATTTCCCATACGACGCTGACTCCTAGTAAAAACAACTCTGTCCCTAGCGTTTAGAAGGCTGGCATCTGAAGACACTGCGTGTCCTGTGTGGCTTCAACAACCTCGTGAGAAAATGGTTGCTTTGCCACCAAGGACACACTGATGAAACCTGGGTAACCTTGGTAATTGTGAGTGTGTGTTTTCCCTTTAGAAAAGGGAAAGGTGTGTGTTTAATCTGGCAAGCCAGGACTTCTGAAGTCTAACTAGTTGACACCTTTTTACAAGAAACTTTTCTAAATACTTCCGAGTCTGAGTCTTCCTTCCACGTGGGGTGTGGAGGGAATCTTTGAGCCACATCTTGAAGGATGTGTCTGAGCTGGCTCCGTGCCTGGGCTCAGGGGAGGGGAAGACTCTTCTGGACTGTGAGAACAGGTACAGAGGCACGGGATGCCTGGACCTAAGCAGACAGGAGTTGCCCTAAATGCCCAGTTTTCCTTCTTGAGCACAAAGGAGATCCGGATGTGGCTGAAGGAAGGGCAGTTGATAGAAATCTCAAGACTTTCAACCAAAAAATCCTAATGGGCCCACCTAGGCACCTCACTTTGCCTCACACTGAGCCTTAACTATAAAGTAGAGACAATTATCCTGACGTTTGGCTGCTGTAAGGATCAGAGATCAAGTCATGAATTAGAGCAGAAGTCAAACATTGTGGATCCAAATTCGAGCTTCATCATTACTAGTCCTGTAACTATGGGTTAGTGACTTCACCTCTGGAAGCCTCAGTTTCCTCATCTGTATAACGGGGATAATTAAAACCTCATAGGAGTATTGCCAGGATTAAATAAAATAAGGCATGTAAGGTATTTAGCTGTGCCTGGCACACAGTAAGTGCCCAATAATTGTGAGCTGGTAAGACGACGATGATGATCGGAATGGATCCATCAGGCAAGCAGGTAGTAGGGGTCTCAGTAAACCCCGGGGGAATCTGGGTCTGTCTATTTCTGTCTGAAGAGAAGATTCCTCAGCCTCACAAAGCATTCAAATCCTCCAGAAGCTAAGGGATTCCCGCTGGGAGTCCGTCCTTCCCACCCAGCTTGAGCACAGCTGAAGATGTGGCAAGGCTGCTCTGAGAATCCGAATAGCAGATGGAGAAAGCTCCGCAGATGCCTCGCACAGCTCTAGGATGACGCGGGAGTAGAGGGTGGTCCAGCGCCTGCGGTGCCTCTGCAAACCCAGACCACCTGCCTGGAGCTGTGGGAGGAGCAGAACAGGCCTGAAGGACTGGCTGGGCATCTGGCTCTGTCCTGCAGGACTGGCTTCTTGCGACTCCTTCCATTCCCTAAGCCGAGTACTTAACCGA